GAGGATGCTTTCCGACACCATTTCATAGTGAATGAGGCCCAATGGCCTCGTAAGTAGACTACTACTTTCACGCACTTTATTTACCGTATTTTCCGCACTATAAGGCGCTTCGGCATATAAGGCACACCTTCAGTGAATGGCCTATTTTAAAACTGTTTTCATATGTAGGGCACACCGAATTATAAGGTGCATAGAATCGAAGTGACAGTAGTGGCTGCAATTGCATTAAGCATCTGCTAGATGGTGCTACACGAAAGGGAATACAGTACAATACGGCTTTATTTATATTGAGCTTTCACAATCACTGCAGCTTTAACAAATCTCTTTATGGAACATTTAAATTACTACGTCCAAGAAATCAGAATTATTGATCCATAAAAAAGGTGCATCGGATTATAAGGCGCAGTGTCAGCTTTTGCGAAAATTGAATGCTTTTGGGTGCGCCTTATAGTGCGGAAAATCGGGTATTTGATCAATAAAAACCCAAAAGAAAAGCAACAGGACAACTATTTTTAATAACTAATTCTTTTTCATTCTCATCAGATTTTAGTACTCTACATGTCGATAAGTTTGAAACAGCAGACTTTTATTAGCATAGGTAGCTGCGGTCATTGTTTCATTCTCTGTTTTCACTTGACACGGCAACTTTGACTGGAACAGCTGATATCGTGTGACCAACCCGAGCAGCTCTCAACATCCGCTTTGCATCGATACACTGCAGGTCCATTCACACCCGTTGTTGGTTTTGAGGTTTGCTCCTGCACTATTATTTGAGCGGCATTGTTTTTGCCTCCTCATCGCTCCCACGGGAAGCGTCATTAAGTTTGCATGACGTCCTGTGGAGATGCAGCAGCTTTGAGGGAACGGGGTTTTATCTTGTCTTCGTCAATCTCAAAGTAGGGATGGATGAATAAATGATCATTTGTAGTTTATTTGTCAGGATTATTTAGTTATTTTTGTCATCTTTAGAGACTTCCAGAGTTCAAAGTGCTGTTCGCTCACATGAATAACAAGGCTTGCGAACAGCAACCCAGCGTACGGGTAGTTTGGCACCTGCGGATTTGCATATTGTTTGTTTTGTGTTCTCTATTTTTGCCCATTTTTCACGGAATGTTTATCTGCGTTTTTTTCCAAGATTTTCTTTTTTTCAGTTACATTTCATTTATTTTATTGAAGTCCGGCCACGAATAGCGAGGCTTAACGGTACTCACTGTCATATGTTCCTTATCCTCTACAAAGAAAGACGAATATTACTGTGCTGACTGAGAAGCTCCATGTATCACCATGCAAATTGTATTTTTATATCATATCGCCCCCCGCCCTGCGATTGGCTGGCAGCCAATTTCAGGGTGTCCCCCGCCTACTGCCCGAAGACGGCTGGGATAGGCTCCAGCACCCCCCACGACCCTAGTGAGGATCAAGCGGTTCGGAAAATGAATGAATGAATATCATATCGCCCCCAGGTGACCAAAGTAAGCACATCAAAAGCAGCAGCGCAATGTTCATTGCAATGAACCAAAAAAGGTGTAAAAATGTTGATATAAAATCCAATCATTTAGAGTGATATTTTTCTTTTTAGAAAACACCGTGCAAACATTCTTAGGATTATTTTTAAGGGAAACTGGAACAGATGAATGTCTTTTTCATTCATGTCAGTGGTGAACGGCAATTTGCGATGCAAGTGTTTTGAGATACAAGCATGGTCAGTGAAAAAAATGAATCTCATATTTCAAGGAATCGCTGTAATTTTGTGAATGTTGACGTTTAGAAAAAAAAACTGCTGGGGGAAAAAAAAGTCTGTTTGATAGATTCTTTTTTTTTTTTTTTTTTTTTTTTAATATATATTTTTTTAAGCCGACGCCTAGCGCAATCTCAAAGTATCATAATATTGGCTGACGTACTAACCCGAAATGCACTACTCTTGCACTCTGAATGTGCATGCATATCTTCGAAGTACATTTCTGACCCCGAAAAAGATGCACATCATTACCTCGAACTCGGATAATTAAGACACCTTGTCATTAGTGCAGGAACAAGCCCACTGCCAGTCTTTGTGACGGATCCCGTGTTTGACGTCAGTCGTCGAGGAACAAATGACAATCCGATCCCGCTGCTAATTATCTAATGAACATGGACGCCGGGTGATTTGTTGCTATGGTGTTAGCTTGTTAGGTTAAGTGGTGCGAATTGTCAGGAGCGGTCCTCCTGTCATACTCAGTCTTTTGCCGCTTGCTTGTGGATCCCCATGACTAAATTCGGTTCAATAGGTACGGATTTGGCAAGTAACAAAACATGTGGGGGTGTGCTCAAGGGCCACATTTGATGGAAAACATCTCAAAGTGTTTATGTGAATAATGAACGAATAATCCATGCTATTTTAACTGTATTTGTAGGTCAGTTTTATTTTTACCAATATTTGGATTTGCTTGTTTACAATCAATACATTGGATTATTTAAGGAGATGAATGATGACAATGAAAATGATTCATGAACCAATTGAAACAGGCAGGCTAAAAAATACTTAATTAAACATATCAAAAATTAAACTTTTATACAGCAATTCATGCTCATTTTTCATGTAATTGTTTATAATGAATTCAATTATAGGTAAGTTTGAAATGATTTACCTTGGGCTCTGTTTTTTTTTTTTTTTATCTCACAATAACCTGGCATTTGAACAAGGGTGTGCAGACTTTTTATACCCACTTTATCCGCAGGTTGTAGTAGACAGCAGCTCATTTTTCACTCGCACCTGCCAGCCACGTGGCTCATTTGCCCCACAAATCACCGACCATCGCTTTTGAATACGCTGTCCTGATTTGTGTACGTCCCAACACGCACTGTCCAGTGGTGCCCGTTCACCTCAGTCCGCCGCCTTCCCTCTCTTCCCATCCCGACTGACCATACGATAAATCAGCTGAGTCCCTCTACCTTGCAAGTAGACTTTATGAAAGCCCATCTATAAAGTGGCTAAATGGTCCTGACAAAGGTCCTAATGAGGAAATCAATAATTCAGCGATTGTTCCTCTGCTTATACTAATACATCCCCCTCATCTGAGCCATTCTTTACTGCATTCACTTCTGCGTGTCAGCATTATTGTTTATTTTTATTTTTTTGGTCCTTCACAGTGGAAGATAAATGGCATTCCGCTGTTTGTCGTCTCTCGGAAAGATGAAAACTCTTCTGTGAAATTAGAATTCCTGCCTCAGATTAGTGTAAAACCGGCCTTCTGAAGGGAGACTATTCCATATCGATCAGTAGCTCAGAATGTCCCAAAGTGGAGTCCCGCAAGGGCCACCGTTCGGACTTCTTTTATTCAAAACCCCATTTTGGGGTGTCAAATTTGTTTTTGTCACGGGCCAAATGTAGTTATGGTTTGCCTCTAAGGGCTGTTATAGCTGTGAAAATCATATAATTATGTATATTACAGACTGTATACCTTCATCTTATTACATATCGTCACTTCATTTTTTCCCCCCCCTCAAATCAATACTGATGGTCCATCTCCACTTCGTCTGGTATTTTTATGCAAGATTACCCAATTCAAAGCGACATAAATAGCTTGAAAATGAAAACATTGCCGCTCTTTATGTCTTATGTCTGACAATTGTTGAAAAACTACTGCAATTTCCTCCTTCTGCAGGTGTCACCTGTATTTAATATCTGCATGATAAGGTTTTTTTTTTTTTTAGCCCATAACGAGTGAAAATAGTAAAGTTAACTACATTGAAGTTGTTTAAAATCGATCGCCATGATGCTTCGTTGCTGAAGGACTCTCGTGAGTCGCAGAGATAAGCCTCGGTTTTCTCTTCATATCCGCTGAATCGAAGGGGTTTGTTGGCTTGTTGTTTTATTTATTGCATCACTCGTGGCTAAAGATTAAGGAGGTGTTTCTGAAGATGTAGGACAAACGTTTGCTTTTGTGACATAGTTAAAGGCTTTTTGCATGGTGGGGGATCAACACAAACCACGACCATGAATTTTGAAGCGCATGGATGCCACAGGCTGTTTGTTTAATCTTAATCAATGCCAGTATAATAAATTAGCGATTGAATATATTTTTGGGTAGTGTTGTGCTGGCTTGAGTGTGCAATGATATTTTATAGAAATATAAGTTATAACACGACCTGAAACAAGCTGTTTCGGATTTTTGGGGATTTCCTGAAAAGTGTTGACCGTACGAGGATTCTGTTCAACGGCAACAATAAACAGAATTTGATTTGATTATGCTCTATCGCAGTGGTGCCCAACCACTGGCCCTTCTCCCGTTACTGGTCCGCAGGCCATTTGGTATTTGGGCCACACCGATACGGAGCATAAGTGCCCCAAATGTACGTTATCACTTGGGCAGGAATGTTCCCTTCATCCACCTCATCTCTAAACTGAGTTAATAAATTACAAATAATAAAATGATAACATGAGCTTCATTTTGAGATTTCATATTAGAATGAACTGTTTGACATACGGTACAAAAATTGTATGTGAAATGTAGTACTGGTGTGCAACCGTTTTCCCCACCCTGATATGATACAGTAAGAGTGTATAGACAGATGGTGAGGTCATTGATCGTCAGTTTTAGCAAAGGAAGCCAGCGGGTGCAGCCCCCCCCCCCCCCCCCCCCCCATCAGATCCACCTCCAACACCCCACCCCCACCAGTCCTCTGTTAATTGCAAGGTGCACATAGATGACCCTCCTTCGCCTTCTTATCTCGTCCTCAATGGCGTGCACCGATGGTCCACGTGCTGCCTCTCAACGCCTTCTTCACTACATTCATCATCATCATCATCATCATCCCTCAATATGTGACGAATGGAGCGCAATCTTGTATTCCGTGGTGATTCATAATGCGCTGATCACGAGAGTGCGTTTCCTATCTGCTGTTTAGGAAATCCCTTTTCACAAGAGATACGCCTTTACAGATGCTTTGGCTTGTCACGAGATTGATGTCTTGTCTGCTGTTCGGCCTCTTTGCCGTTTGCTTTCCCTTTGCTCTCCCAGAACAAAGAACAAGCTGTGGTACTTTGAGTTCGGCACTTCAGAGACGTTCTCGGCCACGTGCAAGAAGTTACACGACTTCCTGGAGGTTGAGGTGAGTATGGCCCATTGCCAGTCGCTTGGCCAAGAAAACGGTCAATTTGCGTCTGTCATGGGAGGACTCAAGATCCACCTGCAATAGGGTCAAATGTCCAATAAAACGATCCAGATAAAATAACATTTTTAAAATAGGTCGACTCTTTCCACACGCTTCAACCACATTGAAGCTCATTAAAACACATTTAACATATTTTTTAACACCTGGTTTCACTGTCTTGCTGTTAATTATGCTTCATGTCTTCCAGTAGACCTCAGTGCTGCCCAACATAATGTGGAACTACACTGACTGCGCGAGTCAGAATTTATAGATGCCTGCATAATATAAAAACACACTGAAAACACACTTGCTTGTAAACAGCAATAATTCGAGGGGGGCCACCGACGAACCGCGATATAGCTCACCAGCTCGTTTTCCATAAATAGATCAGACTTGTGCTAACTCCACTGCTCCGAAAATGTGCAAGTGAAGGGCCTCGGCACATGCTTCCCATTAGACTTGGTTGCTGCACAAAGGTAATTAGCCCTCCACAACCCCGCAGAGTGTGATACCAAATGAGATGAAAACACACTTGCTTGTAAATAGCAATAATTTGAGGGGGCCACCGACGAACCGCGATATCGCTGACCAGCTCGTTTTCCATAAATAGATCAGAATTGTGCTCATTCCACTGCTGCGAAAATGTGCAAGTGAAGGGCCTCGGCACATGCTTCCCATTAGACTTGGTTGCTGCACAAAGGTAATTAGCCCTCCACAACCCCGCAGAGTGTGATACCAAATGAGAATCAAGATATAGTTCATCTTTTCTAAAGCGTCTTAGTCATTTGGACTAGAAATGTGGACTACTATGACTATGTATATATAAAATTCATCCATCCGCTTTATCCTCACAAGGGTCACGGGTGTCTTCGGGCAATAGGCGGAGGACACGTTGAACCGGTTGACAGCCAATCGCAGGGCACACAGAGATGAACATCCATCCGCGCTCACACTCACACTTAGGGACAATTTAGAGTGTTCAATCAGCCTGCCATGCATGCTTTTGGAATGTGGGAGGAAACCGGAGTACCGGAAGAAAACCCACGCAGGCCCGGGCAGGACATGCAAACTCCACACAGGAGCTGGAATCGAACCCGGTACCTCTGGACTGTGAGGTGGACGCGCTAACCACTGGTCCAGTGGCACGCACGCACGCACACCTATAAATTGTCTAATTGTCACCCTTCTCCTGTGTTCTCTTGCTGAAAGTGTGACGGCGTGACCCTGGACCTGAGCTCCGTCTCCCTGGAGGGCATCGCCATCCTCAACATTCCCAGCATGCACGGCGGCTCCAACTTGTGGGGCGAAAGCAAGAAGAGGAGGGGTCACCGCAAGGCGGCCAAGAAGGGCCCGGACAGGAGGACGCCTTTGACCGATCCCAAGGAGCTCATGTTTGCAGTTCAAGGTGAGAGCAGGAGAATGGAAACATTCAACACCAAACTTGGGACCCCAAAACTTTTCACGAGTGTATGAATATTTCACGGGTGACAAGGTGAATCACAGCGAGCGGCTTTTGTTTGCGACACGGAGGTAAAACAGTGTCACTATTTGGAACTGTCACTTGCGTATTAATGGCCCTGCGAGGACAGCGGAGGACAGGCGCAGTTAATCGGAGCAGACTCCCACGGCTCCATTTACGTCAAAAGGGCGGCCGTCACTTGGAATCTGTGATTGGCCCAAAACGAAAGGGGAACTGTGGCTAACTGCTAAAAGTGGCGAGAGACCTAAAATGGCTCTAATTTTCCGTCACACTAATAACACCAGTTGAAATGGAAAACATTGAGAGGAAGATGACAAGATGTTGCAGAAACAAGCAGGTTCATTTAGTCCAGATCATGTTGATTGCCTCAAAATATTCTGCCATAAAAATAAAACATAGAACTCAGAATTTGAAGTTTGCTGCAGGTCCACTTGCGGAAATCCGAGAATTAAATCAGACCAGAATTAGTTAGCTGTGTAAATAGAAAGGCGAAAAAAATTATAAACATATCACTGACAAAAAAAACAACTGAAATGTGATGCAGGACCATCGTGAACTGTGAAAAACCTGCAGTTAATTCTGACATGTACTGCCAGAGAAACTGAGAACAAGACATGACTTTAAAAAACTGACAGTAACACGCATCTTAATCGACACCCAGCTAGTTTTCTACAAAGCTTGGCTGCCATAGAACGACACAACAAAACAATAAGAATCGGAGGTTTTTAACGCCGGACCAGGAGCAGAAGCTTGGAAGTTCGTTTGCACCACAATTAGCTTTGCTGCTATCAAAAAACAAACAAAACCAAAAAAAAATCATGAAATTAAACATTACGAACAAAAGCTTACGTTTGGTGACGGATCCAGATGGACAAAAAAACTTTGCCAAAACCTGCAACCAGTTTTCTGCCTGAGCGGGCACAAAGACCACGATTATTTTTCTCACCCTAAACAAGCTTCCACAGATTTAATTCAAACAATCGCAGAAAAAGCGAAAGTTTGCGACCATCGTGGACCTCCAAAATGATTCAGACCCAACAAGCCTCCATGCCCTCCCCCCAAAAAGCTGCATTTAGTGGTAAACACACACAAGTGCATTAGCCAGAGGGGGCGTAGTCGAGCACGACACATGGATCAAACCGTTAGCAGGTTTTTGTGTGTGTGTGTGTGTGTGTGTGTGTGTGTGTGCGTGCGTGCGTGCGTGTGTGTGTGCGTGTGTGTGCAGCTGACCTTTCTGGAGCTGTTC